CCTGAAAAGCTGTCTATAAACACTAGCAAATACCTGTTACCATACCGGGCTGGCTTGAGCTCTGTGAAGTCTACTTCCCAGTAGACTCTGGGTCTATTTCCTCGAAAGTGCTTTCCTGACTCTAGTTTGTTTTTGCAAACGTTTACCTTCTGGCAAGGGACACAGCTCCCAACTATGTCGTCAGATAAGTCATGTAGTCCTATTATATGGTAGTGAGTCTTTTCCAGCATAGCTACCATTTTCTTCATGCCCAGATGGGTCAGCTTGTGAATCTGGAGGAGGAAGGTCTTCACCTGCTGTTCGGGCAGAATAATTTTGCCATCTTTAGTTTCCCACACTGTCGACATCCACTCCGACCCGCAAAAAGTAGGAAGCAACTATGAACTCTTCTTCAAGCAGTTTATTCAGGAACCTTGTACCATCTTCTGACCCCGGGCAACCCCCAGAACACCCTGATATATCATATCATGATCCAATCCTCAAATGCCACATGGCAACAGCCGATAGGCCATCAAAACACGGAAGCACAGCCAGCCAGCAAGCAATCCTAATATGTATTTGTTTATCGGGTAGCAAGCAGTACTTGGCACTCTGCCAGGCGCCATCTTGGGGAGCGGCTCTCCACACCACACATCATGTGTGGCATTATAAATTTGTCCAACCTGGCCATCTTTTGTAGATCTTTCTCTGAATAGTTTTCTTATAGAAGGTAACTGAACTGGCACCTCGTCCTGGTGAAGCAGACCCAGGGAGTTCAAACCCTGTGCTGTCCTTCTTTACCTCTGCATCTGCCCGCTGATTTCCCTTCGCTATAGAGGAGTCCCCTTTTTGGTGGCCAGGACAATGTATAATTGCAACCTTTTCTGGTCGGTGTATGGCCTCCAGCAGGTTCATAATTTCATATTTGTTTTTAATGTCTTTTCCTGCTGAAGTTAGTAGCCCTCTTTACCTGTAGATGGCACCCTGGACATGGGCAGTGGCAAAAGCATACCGACTGTCAGTATAAATGTTTACATTTTTCTTTTCCACTAGCTGCAAGGCCTGGGTGAGAGCAATTAGTTCTGCCCTCTGAGCAGTGGTCCCTTCTTGGAGGCTGCTAGCCCAGATGGTCTGTTCCTGGTTCAGCACCGCTGCCCCTGCCACCCTTTTACCTTCAATTATGTAGCTGCTTCCATCTATGAACCACTTTAGTTGGGCATCTGGCAGGGGTTGGTCTCACAAGTCCTGTCAGACCCCCATTTCCTCACTTAGGATTTCTTGACAGTCATGAGTTACAGGGGAGTAGGGATCAGTGTCCGGTATCAGGGTGAGTATAGTTGGGGGTGAACTGGATATGGTCTTTGTTCAGCAGTAGGCTCTGGTAGTAGGTCATGCGGGCATTTGAAAGCCAACATTCTAGTGGTTTTCTTAATATGCTCTCAAGAGAAATGACCATCAGATGGTGCCCTAGAGTCAGCTTGTCAGCGTCTTTGACAAGGACTGCCACAGCAGCAACAAATCTTAGGCAGGCCAGTGTCAGGTACGCCAGCATAACTGACCTAGTTCCCCTTAACGGTGAGGGCCTGCGGATTGAAAAAGAAGACACAGAGTCATCTGGTAGAGACCAAATGCTGTATTTCCAACTATCCCACATGCTTATATACACAGAAGTTAGCAGGAAAAGGAAGGGACCACTCAACAGCCAATCACATAGATTTCGATTTCTCTGGCAGTGACCATTTCTGGGAAATGGCTCAAGGCAGGGGAGGGTGCTGTACTGCGCATGTCCTGCTCTTACAAGGATAATATCACAGGGCTGGTAGGTCACAAGATTATCACAATTCACTCTTTTTCTTTAATTCAAAAAGGCACCACATATCTTAGGATCAACCTTGCAGCCACCGGCTCTTACCTGTCTTTGGGTTACTCTGTCATTCTCAGAGCCCCTGTCTTAGGTTGATACCAAGGCCAAGGAAGTTTCCCATCTCTGGTTAATGCCTTTGTAACATAGGTAACCAGACCTCTGCAGCAGAAGTCTTCTGCCCATGCAGAAGCACTAGGCCCCTCACCACTGTCTGGGAATGAACCTGTTGTCTCCTGAGGCAACGTAGACCCCATACAACAGCCAGGACAGCAATAAAGGTTATGGCCAAGAATGACATCATACCAGCCCATTCTTTAAACATGGAGCCAATCTTATGAAACCAGGATCGGATGCAGAAGCTGTCGAGTCAAATTATTATAACTAGCCGATAATGGCCACACTCCAAACTGGGATGGACTGTGATACCAATGAGGAGATGACTGATGGGTGCTAATTTTTGATGGAGGCCTTTGTCTGAAGAACCAAACTGACTCCCCTAATTGCCATCCTTCCCAAGGACCACAATTTAGCCAAGGTATAGGTGCCTTGATCTCAAAAATGTCTGAATCAACCCAACAGGGAGGAGCAGGTCTAATAGGTGCAACACTACCCACACTCCTATTCTTAAAAACATTATTAAAACTGGATACCAAATACTCTGAAAAGCTAAATACTGATAAGGATATCCAGTCTGTACCTTTTCAGGAGCAATTACAAACCCAGCCTCTTTCAGATTCTCTTGTAACTTACTATAGGCCAATGATAGCTCCTTTTCTGTCTGGGCAGCAATTAGTCTATCATCCATATAATGAATAATATAACAGGAAGAAAATAGTTTTCGAACAGGTAAAGGGGCCTGGGCAACAAACATTTGGCATAATGTAGGACTGTTAGCTGTTGCGCCTAGCCTCAACCAGCAAGGAAGATGCAACACGCGAGCTCTTCTCCAGCAGTTTATTCAGGAACCTTGAACAATCTTCTGACCCCAGGGGAAGCGTCCCACAGGCTAAAGTAGTCTAGGATCAGCCTACCCCGGCGAGCCACATGGCAACAGCAGATAGGCACACATTTATGGAAGCAAGCCAGAACACCAGTCTCAGCCAAATAAGGACTTGTTTACTCCTGAGAGCACTCGCCATCGGGATGGCAGAAGGCAGAAACCGGCGCCACCTTAAAGGCGCTGCACTATGCAGCTCTCCACAGTTCCCCCTTTTTGTTTTTGTACGAAACAGGTGAGAGTAGAGGTCTGATCGCAGAAGGAGAGAAAAGGACAATGTACTAGCCCTTCCAAGGTATCTCTACCCAGGCAGTGCCAGACCCATCCAGTACCAATTTTTTCTGAGGCAGGAGAGATTGGATAAATTGGGGAAAAGGATGGGACTAACCGCATCTATCAGACTTGCTCTCCTTGAGGCTGTGAGCAGCTGACAGCATACCTCAAATGCAGTGCCTAGCCTCGCAACCTGAACGTGACGATTCAAGGCTTGATGGCTGCCAGCCAAGCTTGGGGGGACTGTCCGGCCTCAAAGGCTGTAAAGGCTTGAACAATCATGGCTGCGTTCCGGTGCTGTGTAGCTCTGATCTTACAGATAAACCACAGGCAGACAAAGGAGGCTAATACCATGAGTACTGCCAGAGATCCTATGCCCGCCCACTCTTTTAGGTGATCAATAGCTGAGGCAAACCAAGACGACAATCCTCTGGCAAGAGACAGGTCCACTCTAGTGGAGTTCACATGCACCATGGCCAGACACAGTTCCCTCAGGGAATCTTCAAATTCCAGGGACCAATTCTGCAGCAAGAAGCTAGACAAATGCTTAGATAAATTAGCAGCACAGGTAAAATTATCATATTGAACAGAGGTAACGCATAAACCCTGCATCTTCCATTCACATCCTAATTGAGCAATCTGCCACAGCGTATCTATTTGCTCCTGCACAAGATCTATGCATTGATTCACTATCATCAACCCCCCTTTTACTTGAGAATTTAAAGATGTCTGTATATCCAGAGCAAGGGCAACACTGGCTGACAAATTATTTAAGGCTGCAGCTGTTTGAACAGTACCGGATAGGGCCACAGCTTGAGGCGGCAGCCCCTGCCGCTGCAAGAGTAATGGTAGTCACAATAGCTGCTGTGATGCCAAAATCCCTTTTTTGCCTAAATAGCACTAATGGGCTGGGAGCCTCCACAGGGACAGGAACATACCGTGGCAAATGAGTGACAACAGCTGCAGAATAAATTCTACCATCCCAGCAAAGGGCATAAAAACATGTTGAAATGGTACAATTCAACCAACCATCACTCAAGCTACCATTGCTAACTAGCCAAACAAAAGGAGGCCAAACACAAACTGGTGTAGGTTTAAAAGTCACATTAACAAATCCTGAAAAGGTACCCTTGCTCTGACCTCCTCCTCCAACAGTGTATCCTGGGGTACTAAAGCTTGGCTTAATTGGGGCCAACGAACCATCAAACAAATCTCCAAATTTAGAATTAGCAGACCAGTTGAATTGCCCCAGACCATGAACTCCCCCACCAATCATTGTAAATGTGTCAAATCCATGCAGCTCCCACTGACACCACACAGGAACCAGATATCAAACGGACTCACTGCAGTGATCTGGGCAGGATTCTGATTAGTAAAATTTTGTCCTGCAAATGTTGCATTAAATTTTGTATTCATGGCAGGTGAAAATGTAAAATAAAATTGTACAGCCCAAGTCACTTCTCTACTCTGACACCCTGTCCAGGGAAATTTTCCATCACCCCCTATATCTCCAGTACAAAAGGGGGCCCACATAGGCTGCGGGGGGGCAAGGACCCTCCCCATCCTTACAGGGCCGTCGGCCTGAGAGCCAGGATGCATTCACTGAAAACTGGCCTGGGGTCGAAGGAATCTCAAACCAAGCTGCAGATTGATTATACAACAAAATACAATTATTCTTTTCACTAATATTTCTTACTAAAACAAAACATAGGCTATCTTTTACAAAAAAGGATTGATTACTTTCAACACTACTAAGCTGTTTATCTAATGGCAAATAGGCTACACCTAAACTCCTATTACTGGCAAAAAAGCGGGGAAACACTTGAGCATTATATATCACAGGCATCAGTTTTGGAAACACCGACAGGATCCCCCATCTTGGCTCTATCATCCCGGCACCATCACTGCCAGCATCATCAGGATTCCTAGGAAGGTCTTCATGGCTAATCTTTCATACAAGGCGTTCAGGAACCCACACTGGATCTTGCTGGTCCTGAGGAAAAACACAAACAGAACCTCGTGCCCATGTCAGCACAGGATCAGGCCCTCGCCAGAAGCCTGTCAGGATATTCCTCCATTTTGCCATGCCCTTAGATGGACCATGTAAGTCCTGATGTCTGTCTGCTGCCGAGCGGTCATGAACATCCAAATTTTAAAAATTAAGGGTAAATAGAGCTAATGATATTCTTTCTTTAGGGGTCCGGACTTGGTCTAGTCCCCTTTTTTGTGTTTGTAGACACTCTTTTAAGGTGCGGTGGGCACACTCCACGACGCCTTGTCCTTGAGGATTATAAGGTAGTCCATGGGAGACCTGCACCTCCATCTGTTTGCAGAAATTAATGAAAGTTTGGGCTGTATAGGCTGGTCCATTGTCGGTTTTTAGCTGGTGTGGTTTTCCCCACGCAGCTCAGGCTTCCAAGCAATGTGTGACAACATTGCGAGCCTTTTCTCCACTCAGAGGTGTAGCATGTATGACACCTGAACAGGTGTCAATTGACACATGTACATATTTTAAAGTTCCAAATTCAGAGATATGCGTAACATCCATCTGCCAAAGTTTAAGAGGCAACAACCCTCTAGGGTTGACTCCAGTGCTAGGAGGATGATGATGGATAATACATTGAGGGCAGTTCAAAACCACTTGTCAAGCATTCAAGTGGAATTTTTGTTGCAGGGTTTTTGAATTTACATGAAAGGTTTGGTGAAACTGTCGAGCCTGCTCCAGAGCTGTACTTAGGAAAACACACTCCACTCTGGTCCATCAGTCCACAATATCATTACCCTTACTCAATGGGCCAGGAAGACCTGTGTGTGCTCTGATGTGTTGAATGTGAAAGGGCTGTCTCCTTTGCCAAATCAACTGCTGAAGGTCATGCAGCAAATGAAAAACCTTACTGCTTGATTTTATAGCGCCTGCAGCCTCCAAGCTCTTAACAGCATTTACTACATAGGCAGAATCTGAAATCAAATTAAATGCAAATGTGCAATTCTTAAACACTTCCATAACTATTTCTAATTCTACAATCTGAGGGGATCCTGGTGAAAATTGACACAGCACCGGTTCTTGTTTTTCCACCATATAGGCTCCACAGCCTGTTTTTGAACCATCTGTAAACACATTGGGAGCACCCTTTATGGGGCGCATTGAAGTTACTTTTGGAAAAATCACTGAATGCTCCTTAAAAAAGGACAACAACGGGTGCTGGGGATAGTGATTATCAAATTGCCCTGAAAAACTGCATTGCAAAATAACCCAATCATCAGTAGTACCGCATAAGATCTTAAGCTGATGACTAGAATAGGGTACTATGATAGAAGCAGGGGAGACCCCCCAAAATTGCACACACTGTTGTATGCCATTCAGGGCAAGTGCTGCAACGGCCGTTGGATAATGCTCCACTGATTTAGCAGGTGAAATTTTAGGATAAATCCATAACAATGGCCCTTCCTGCCACAATAATCCTGTAGGTTGATAGGCAGTGGAAAAGATGCATAAAAGAATAGGCTGATGGTCTTGCCATCGTTGTAGAAAGGCACTCTGAAGCCTCTCCTCAACCTTTTGCAAAGCTACTCTAGCCTCTGCTGTCAATTGCCTAGGGGAATCAAGTGCTGAATCACCTATCAAAATATTATATAGGGGCTTTAATTCATAATTTGGCAACTTTAAATAGCTTCTTATCTAATTAATATCCCCTAATAACTTTTGAAAATCATTTAAGGTCTTCAAATTATCTTTCCTTAACTCAATCTTTTGAGGAGATATATTTACAGGCCCAATGCGTGCTCCTAGGTAATTGATTATGCTCTCCTTTTGAACCTTTTCAGGGGCGATAAACAATCCTCTCCTCTCCAGTAACTTAATCAGTTCTCCGTAGGCTAAATCTAAAACTTGTTCACTTTTAGCTGTTAGCAAGATATCATCTATGTAGTGAACACATCTCAAAGCTGGGAACTTTCTTCTCAGAGGGGCAATGGCCTCTCCCACATAGAGTTGACACATAGTAGGGCTATTTGCCATGCCCTGAGGTAAGACTACCCATTCAAATCTCTGATCAGGTTCTTCATGATTACATGATGGAATGGTGAATTCAAACCTTTCACTATCCTTGGCACACAAGGGAATAGAGAAAAAACAATTCTTTATATCTATTACTATTATAGGCCAGGAGGCTGGCAAAGATGATAAAAGCGGCAACCCTTGCTGTACTGGGCCCATGGTCTGCATTTGTTGATTAATAGCACGCAGATCATGCAGCAACCTCCATTTCCCTGATTTCTTTCTGATAACAAAAATAGGTGCATTCCAGGGAGAAACAGATGGTCTTACATGCTTTAAGGACATCTGCTCAGCCACTAACTCTTTGGCAGCGCTTAGCTTTTCAGAGGAAAGTAGCCACTGAGGAACCCACACTGGTTCCTCCATCTTCCAAGTTAGGGGAATGCCTTCCTCAGCAGCCCCTAGGAAAAACCCAGGCCCTGTCTCTTTGGTCTCTGTTGAGCGGATATAGGACTCCTAGGCCCTTGCAGGTACTTCCCTATTCCAAAGCCTGGAGCATAACCCATATCTTGCATCATGCGCTGGGCAGAAAGAGAATACTCATTGCTTAACTTAAACCCCATGTCTTTTAACAAATCTCTTCCCCATAGGGAAATCGGCAACTCAAGTACATATGGTTGCACAACTCCGGAATGCCCTTCCTGATCCTGCCACTTTAGCTGCCTTGCACTCATGTCCGGAGTTTTTGCATAGCCAAGTCCTTGAAAGGTTTGAGAGGAAGATTGCACAGGCCAACCTGAAGGCCAATCTTTCTTAGCTATTATACTTCTGTCTGCTCCTGTATCCAAAAGACCCAGGATCCTTTTCCCTTCTATGTTCAACTCTAGCACAGGACGTTGGTCAAGATTCAGGGACAGAAATATCAAATCTACTCCCATGGATCCAAAACCTCCTTTTCTTCTTCCTTGATCCTTTGCAGCATAGTGGTCATGCAGACTCAGTAAAATGACTAATTGAGCAATTCTATCTCCAGGAGAGATGGCAGTTATCCCTCATGGAGAGGCAACCATAATTTTTACAACTCCACTATAATCTGGATCTATGACTCCAGGGTGCACAATAAGTCCTCTCAGAGCTGAGGAGGATCTTCCCAGCAATAGCCCAACTGTGCCAGGCTCAAGGGGTCCTTTAAAGTCTGTTTCAATTAACAGGACCCCCATTTGGGGTGTTAATACGAGTCAGGTGGTAGAGCGGAGGTCCAATCCCGCCGAGCCCTTAGTGGCTCTCCGCAGTTCCTCAGATGGCGAAGGGACGGCCATCTCTCTGTAGTCTCCTTGTCTTGACTCTCCACTGCCCCATATATTTGCGGGCCCTGGGGTCATGGGCCCCTCTGTCCGTTTTTTGGACGGGCACCGCCGTTTCCCTGAGTAATGGGCTGGCCATTAATATCTTTGACTGAGCGACATTCATTCGCCCAATGAGTTCCCTTTTTACACTTTGGGCAGAGGCCTGGTTGCTTAGGGTGTTGGCCACTTCCTCCTCCGCCATAATCTCTAGTTCCTTTCTCCGGACACTGTCTTTTCAGGTGACCTAACTTTCCACACTTGAAGCATGCCCCTGAATTATTCCCTTTCTTCTGTATCAGCTGCACCACGGCAGCTGCTAACCCTGCATTGGTCAGGGGTCCCCTGAGCTCTCTGCATACCTTCATCCATGCTTCAAGGCCTTTGCTCTTATAAGGTGTAATTGCGGCTCTACACTCCTTAGTACATTGCTCATAGACTAGCTGTTTAATGAGTGGCATGGCTGTATCGGGATCACCAAAAATCCTCCCTGCAGCTTCCACCAAGCGGGCCACAAAGTCTGAGAAGGGCTCCGTGGGGCCCTGCAAGATCTTGGTCAGACTGTCACTCACTTCCCCTTTGTTTGGCAATGACTTCCACGCTCTCGTAGCTATCTGATTAATCTGCTCATAGGCCTGGAACAGGTAGCCCATCTGTTGATTGTCAAATCTGCCCTGTCCGAGCAGCATGTCCCTATCCCAGGCCGGATTACCATTTCTCTGGTTGGTGGCTGCTTGTTCAGTTGCATTCTCAATCAAGAGTGCCTTCCAGTCTAAATATTGCCCTGGACTCAAACAGGCACGGGCTCGTCCACTCTAATCGCTAGGTGTCATACAGTGTCTGCTAAGAGCTTCTACTTGGACCAGGGTGAAAGGTGCAGTAATCCCATACGTTCGGACCGACTCCACAAGAGATTTCACTACTTTAAAATCAAGTGGTTCTTCATACCTGTTTCCCTGCGGGTCTTGGTAAACAGGGAAGGCAAACTGTAACTCAGTCCTGATCTGGGGCCATATCCCTGGACAAAATGATCTCCCTCCATAGGAGAGTGGAGCAGGCTGAGTAGGTGGAGTAGCCTGTGCGGCTTCAAGATAAGATGGAGGAGCTGAGGGTGTCTTAATGGCAGCCTCCGATCCGTCGCTTGCTGCCAATGGGGGTTTCTCCTTCTCTTTTCTCTTTTTCCTCTTCCTCACAGTTGTCCTCTCTAGCTGTTCTACTAGGACATGTAACTCTCCTTCTGAGTCCGTGGACTCTGAGTCCTCAAGTCCTCAAGACTAAGGTACAGTGGCTCCCTTTTCTTACCTCCCTTCTCATTTGCAGCCTTCTCCGATCTCTGTTCCTGCAACATTTCTAAGGCTGTTTGTCCCTCTTTGACTGCCTTACAGCATTTCTGATCTTCCAATCAGCTTCTTACCAACTTCCAGATAGGTCTCACCCCCTTTTGCAGGGTTCCCTGTTCCTGAGCAAAGTCTAGGTCTCTGCCGAGCTTGTCCCAGCAGGATACTGTAAGATTTCCTGATACCGTGAATCAAACAAAGGCTACCTAAAAGCTGAATTTTAAACTCACTATTAACACTAGCAATTTCTTTAAGGGCAAAAAGGGTAAATCAAGATACGATTACTACTAAAAAACCGAGGAAAAACTTGGGCATCATGGCATACTGGCATCGGTTTTGGAAACGCTGATAGAATCCCCCACCGCTGTTCCGTTGCCACAGGATTCCTCATCGGGAAGAAGCAGGAGTATTATCCATGTTGCATTTTCATACCATCCTTTCCGGGACCCAAACTGGGTCATGTTGATTCTGTGGAAAGACACAAACAGACCCTCTTGCCCAGGCCAATACAGGATCTGGGCCATTCCATTTTCCTGTTAGTATATCCTTCCATTTTACCTGACCTCTGAAGGTTTGCTGCCAATGTATGTGTCTCTCCGCCGCTGAGCGGCCATTGGCATCCAATTGCAAAAAATTTAAAGTGAATAAGGCAAGGGAAATGCGTTCTTTGGGGGTACGACTAAGTCCAATTCCCCCTTTTTGTTTTAGAAGACATTCCTTGAGCGTATGATGTGCTCTTTCGACTATCCCTTGACCTTGTGGGTTATAAGGTAAACCATGTTTCAAGGTCACTTGCATCTGTTTGCAGAAAGACTGAAAAGATGCAGCAGTGTAGCCTGGACCATTATCAGTCTTTAATTCTTGTGGTTTTCCCCAGGCAGCCCATACTTCCAGGCAATGGGCGACAACATTTGTTGCCTTCTCACCAGAAAGAGGGGAGGCAAATATAAGACCTGAACATGTATCCACTGACACATGTACATATTTAAGTTTTCCAAATTCTGAAAAATGTGTCACATCCATTTGCCAAATCCTTAGTGGTAACAATCCTTTAGGATTAACCCCCACCCCTACAGGATGGGAATGAATACTGCAATCTGAGCAATGAACAACAATCTTTTGGGCATCTTCTCTGGAGATACCAAATTTAATCTGTAAAGTCTTAGCATTGACATGAAAAGTGCTATGAAAATGTTTAGCCAATGCATCTGGGGAATCAAAAAGATTAAATATAAATTTCCTGCATGTGGCAGTATTGACTACCTCATTGGCTGTGCTCATAGGTCCTGGTAGACCAGAATGAGCCCGTATGTGCTGGACATAAAATGGGCAAGTACGCTTCCAAATTAAACATTGCAAATCAAATAGCAATGGAAAGATTGGACTGGAAGCTCTAATTTTTCCCATGGCCTCCAGGCTTTTAAGAATATTCACCACATACAAAGAATCTGAAACCAAATTGAAGGGCATGCAAACTTTTGAAAAAACCTCAATAACAATTTTTAATTCAATAATCTGAGGAGAGGCTGGGGGAAATTGAATCACTACTGGGGCCATATCATCAATCTTGTATGAGCCACACCACGTTTTGGAACCGTCAGTATAAATAATCGCAGCACCAGCTAAGGGGCTGCCTTTGGTCAACTTAGGAAATACCACAGGGTGCGCCTCAAAAAGCTGTATCAATGGGTTCTGAGGATAATGATTATCAAATTCTCCAGAAAAGGCACATTTTAAAATTGCCCATTCATCTACTGTGGCACATAAGACTTGCAGCTGATGACTATTATAAGGAATAATAATTTTACTCGGCACCATGCCATAATGCTGCAAGCATTGCTGCAGTCCTTCCATAGCCAAGGATGCCACTGCAGTGGGAAAATACTTATTAATGGAAATCTTGGGATGAATCCATATAAGAGGACCGTGCTGCCACAGCGCAGCTGTAGGTTGAATCTTAGTCTTAAAAATTATTAAGATGACATCCTCTGCAGGCTCACAGCGCCGCAAAGTAGACTTGCCAAGTTCCTTTTCTACCAACTCCAGGGCTCTGCGGCCCTCAGGGGACAGCATCTAGGCGAATCTAATGCAGGATTTCCATTTAGAATAGTATATAATGGTTGTAGCTGATGGTTTGGGATCTTTAAATAAGGTCTGATCCAATTGATGTCTCCCAATAACTTCTGGAAATCATTCAAGGTCTTTAAATCATCTTTTCTAATCTCAATCTTTTGAGGGGCAACTTCCATCGGTCCAATTTTGGCACCCAGGTAAGAAACAACTTGGTGTTGTTGGACCTTTTCTGGGGTAATATAAAGCCCTCTGGCCTCTAAATTTTTGACCAATAACATATAAGCTTCTTTTAATTCCTTCTCACTTTTGTGAGCTAATAAGATATCATGCATATAATGTAATATTTTGAGTGTAATAAATTTAGTCTAATGGCTTCCCCTACATAGAGCTGACACGTAGTAGGGCTATTGGCCATGCCTTGAGGGAGCACAGTCCACTCAAAGCGCTGATCAGGGTCTTCTTGATTAACAGATGGCAAAGTAAAAGCAAACCTCTCTGTATCCTTACTACATAGGGGGATGGAGAAGAAACAGTCTTTAATATCAATTACAAAAATTGGCCATTCTTTAGCAAGGTAGTTAACAAAGGAAGGCCTCGCTGGACAGGCCCCATGATCTACATCTGATTATTAATAGCACGCAGATCATGTAATAGCCTCCACTTTCCTGATTTCTTTTTAATTACAAATATGGGCGTATTCCAAGGGGAAAGCTTAACATGTCCCTTCTCCAGTTGTTCTTTCACCAATTCCTTAGCTGCCATCAACTTCTCTGAGGACAAAGGCCACTGAGGAACCCAGACTGGGTCATCAGTCTTCCAGACAATGGGTATGCTGGCCTCAGTGGCCCCTAGGAAAAACCCAACTCCTTTTGTCGGGATCTGGGAAAAGCTTGAACAGGACTCTTTCGTCCTTGCAAGTACCTCCCAAGGCCATGGGAAGGATGCCATCCCATGTTATGCATAATCTCTTGGGAAGCTGAAGAATAATTTCCCTCATTAGTAAGTTTTAATCTCATAGCTTTTAGGTCTCTACCCCATAGGCTCCCAGGCAACTCCAGGACATAAGGTAGAAAGAGGCCTTCATTGCCTTCATGATCCTTCCACGGAAGTTCCCTGGCACTTACATCCGGCGCCTTGGCGTAACCAAGGCCTTGCAGTGTTTATGAGGAAGTTCGAATGGGCCAA